ACATGTGCATGGGTGTGTTTAATATGTTTCACTTCACATAGAGCAGCGGCACAAACCATAACACAGGATGAGGGCATATTCTTGCGGGAACTGAGCCAGTGCATCTGACCATGTTGACATTTTACACACTGACATCAGATGGCGGGGTGGGGGGGGGGATAGTTTGCAGCCCTGCATTCAGTCACACTGTCACAGTAGAAGGTGTAAATGGGGAGGCATTAAGACATTAAAAGTACCAATATTACAAAATAATATTCATCTAAGAATACATAGATTTGTATGTTAGACTACTACGATAAGATAATGTAGATGTGATTTTTCAGAGCGTCCTGATTTTACTGTCTGCTTGGTGACACCCCACATGCGTCATCAAAACCAGATTCTTCTCCTGTGTGTTTTTACAGTTTGCTCCTGGGTCTCCTCCGGCCTCGCCCCAGAGACCTAATGCATCATTTGAGGCTCACACAATTCACTGCTTCTCAAGCCACTGGCTCCTACCAGCCTGATAGAGGCATTTTTCACCACTTAGAAACACGCACTGTGTGTCCGATCCCTTCCTCCTTAATATGTCCTCTATTACCATCAGGCATTTATGCCTGTTTTTTCTACTTCAGTAACCACTGAGCACCGGCTTCATTAAAACTAATTGAATTGGAAAGATGTCTGCCCGAGGAAACATTAACTCTTTCTATTAAGGGAATTTCCGATTTCATTTTGTCAATAAGGTCAAAGGACTGAGCCTGTGTGTTCAATACTGATACATTCTGTGGCCATAAACTTAAACTGTACGGATATTTAATTCAGGTAGACCGAGCACGCTATAAGCTCCTTGAATGTACAATTCAAACTCTGGTTTCTGGGGATTACATAATAATTTGTTAAAATCCCCCTACTTTCTATCTCTCCAAATCTATAGTTTCCCGCAGAAACCCGAAGAATCTCCTCTCTAACATAATGTCCTGTCAATTTCATTGCATTATTAATTTCTTGTGGTTAGCACAATTGAGTCTTGGTACAAGCATTGCATTAATGGTCTTTTACTGACCACACTTGAAACAATAATTTGATGGCATCCGTCAGAAATCAATGTGCAATAACAGAGCATACACAGCTGTTTAATATGAAGTAAATATTTATGAGTGATCTGACTAGGCATCAAGTCCAGTCAATCTTCTTTGAAAGGATCTGTGCAAATGATTAACCTCATTTTACTGGTGCTGTCTGGGCTGGTAATGGCCATTAGAGCTAAGAAGGAGTGAGGCCTTTGATTTTTGGCTCCTCATCATTCACAGCTTGTCGCATCCCTTCATCCTTCATACATGGCTGCTGAATTGATTGTCTGTTTAGTCCTATGAATGATAAAGCTGCTCTGGGCCACAGGCTGAGAGGGACAGACACGGCTCACTTCCATCTATATGCAAGGTGGATTTCTTTTCCTGCCTCGCCACTTGGAAATCTGCTTTTTGCATTATTTATTGGACAATCATCAGCATTTCAATATGGTAAATCAAATAGTCACAGTAATATAACTATAGGCAGTCATATCCAAAGGGCCATCATTCGACTCATTATTCATTCATTTTGTTTAGAGCTATAGTCGTCAGGACTCGTGAGATTCATAAGTTGTGTAATCAACATGTTTTACTGCGCGCACAGCAGCCTCCCTGAACAGAGGGAAAGGTAACATGAAAGGAAGTGATTCTGAGCGAAGAGTGTGTAAACTGAATGTGCTGAATGAATGAAAAGTAGCAGAATTAATGAAAAAGTTGTATGTTACCGCAGACTGCTGATGAGACTGGGTGGAATATAACCTTGATGGGAAATAGCAAGGTAAAGAAGCAGAGTGCACTGACATGCTGAAAAAAGTCATACGAGTTGTTTGAATCACTTCATTTCAATGAAAGTCAAGTAATGAAGAGCATTTTATGCCATTGCAGTCATAAAGCAGTGCCATGTGGATCTATTTCAGGTCTTGCACACAAGCTATCTAATAAGATTTTCACTTTGTACCTCAAAATAACTTGTGATGCCACACACATAAAATGTAAAGAAAGATAATACTTAACTGTAATTTACTCTAGGCTTAATTTTATCCAAGTCGGAGAAAATTACATGTTGTGTCTGAAACTCATATGCTGTATAGACAGAAGGTAGATCATCAACGCTCTGTATCACACAAGTTTGTAGCATGTGTTACGTGTGCATCTTTATAATTATTCTCCCTCTGTATCTTTCACTGACTGCTGCTGCACTCTATTCTTTGCGGTTGAAAATATAACCAATTTCTACTTCACCTAAGCGTAATTCCAGTAGCAGTTTTTTTGCAGCAGTGAGTTTTCCTCTTCAGAAGTCTGCCTACCAAGTTCTCATGTAGTGCAGAGGTGAAAGGTCAAGTGCTCTCCCACCACAGGGGATCAGATGAGGCTAAGGTCTGGCTTATCTTGGCCTCCCAACATGGTAATTCACAGACTAAACGTAAGTCGTAGCCAACACTGTCGACATACAAACCTTTTTTTTTACAAATAAAAGACAAAAGAAAGTATATCCCTGTTGTTGGGGAATGGCTCCTGATGTAATTTGGTCGTTTTGTTAATGGTCAAACGACTGCAGCCAGCCACCAGACTGAATACACCTACAGCAGAGCTACAGCCCTTTAAATCCGCCGAGCGCCACATGTGTGAAGCTGTCAAATTGCATCAGAGAGTTAGACGAAAGTGCAGCTGTGTGCAGCTGTGCATGCAACATAATCCATGATCGTCACAGTGTGCATGGTGCGTGTGTGTGGTAGCATCTAATAGTGTGAATGTGAAGCAGCGTTCTCAGAAGCTGGGACCCGGTCTTTATAATTCGATTCCTTTCTCACTTTGTGCACAAGCACTTAGCAGCACGCGGCACCGGCTCCGTCCCCGTCCACCTTCACCTGCAACCGGCTTCAGTTTGTTGTTCTGTGTGCTGGAGCTGAAGACAAGACTGAACAACTGGAAAATGATTTCTTTTGGGGTTTTTTTTCTTCCTAGTCCTACTTAGTCTGACACAATCATAACCTTCCGCTGATGTCAAGAGTGGGGAGGAAATTAAGTCATAGGCTGGTAATGAATTTAGACTCCAAGTCCTCCAGCATATATAATCATCCGGGGAAAAAAACACTGACAGAAGTATTAGCTACTTGTGTCATGTTTTATTGTGTCGAGATAGACATGTTTAAAACCTAACTGTACTTTGAGTCAATAGAGAGAACTTGTGACATTGTAGTGCACCCTTTCAACAGATCTGCTAAATGTCAGCAAACTGGTTCTGAGTGTAATCCCAATTTGCCTTGGAATTAGCACTTTACAGTGACGATCTAATTATTTAGACAATTTATTGCCTGCTGCTAATATCTCTCAAAATAAGCTGTTCCCTTCATCTTGATCATGTGATAAATGTGGAATCACTGAGGATAAGTTCCAGACATGCCTCAGAGCTTGGCGTCACTTCTCTCTTCTGATAGACTAAAGGAAAGGCTTTGTGACAGCGGCACTGCTTCACTCCGTGGGCCAATCATTGCCGTTTTATATACATTTCTAAATTACTTTTCCTTTTCTGCGATTGCAGACTGCCATATGCAAATTTGGGTGCGCAGCAACATCTCAAAGTGGCTCGAATTGTAATTGTATGAAAGCAATCAGTAAACGGGATTAAAGGATATACAGTAGGACTTTTACCTGACTGAAAACAGAAGCGGGCTCTCCGGGTGTTTGCGGGAGGTTGGGTGGTAATAACCGGCTCAATATTTAGGGTTCTTTTCATTAACCAGCTTCGGTAACAACTTTAATGTACAGCTGTGGTTGTAGGGGAAAACGTGCCTGTGTGTGGCATCAGCATCATATCTTTGTTGATTACTTAAAATTACGCATGAGGTGCAGCGCGGTGACGCACAGTGTAAAGCGGTGCCACCTGTGCGCAACCAGGATTCACATTTCACAATAAATCTGTTCTTTTCAGCCGCACATTGAACATGTTTTCTTCTGAGCAGGTCGCTGGTAATCGGACTTGTATTGTTGGAAAACTGCACGTTTAAGTTCTGGTTCTGGTCTAAGTCGTCGGCAGGGTAAACTGGGTTTAATTAAACAGTCAGCGTTCACATGATGGAAGTGTAGCGATTTGAAGGAGCGCAACACAAACAAAAAAGATCTCGTATACAAATTGAAATAATGTCACATTTTTAATCCTTTGACTAGGAACAAGGGAGGTCGGTCCAGAGAGTCAACCTTAAACTTTTCATTTGCATCAACTTTCGCACCAGCAAAGAACATCCATAGAATAAACTGAATTATAAAATCCGATGTTCTTTTTCTATTTTATTGTTCGCTCAAAATGTTACTTTATTTTGGGATTAAAACGAAAGATGAAGACTCTTAAATTTAATCCACTGTAGCCTTTGTCAAATACAAATAGACATTAGAAAAAGAAAAGAGGTTTAAACAGCCTGGGATGTGTTCATGAAAGCTGCTTCTTTTTTTAACAATTAAAATATAAGAAATATAGACACGCATGCAGGAAAGAGCTGTTCCCCAAATTTTGAGTGTATTAAAAAGTAATTTAGATGACTGAAATATCCGCTCAGTTTTGGTGTAAATAAAATTATTAAAAATGGCTAAATAATAAATATGTGCAACATATTTTTGTGTAAACAAAAAAGAGAATTTAAACTTAAGTCATGCCTAGGCCTTCCCATTATTTGCGACATGTTCACAGTCAATAACTTACTACATGAACTGAACAGATCTACACAATTTCACATTTAGTTCAAGTTAGATACTAAAAGAAAAAAAAGAAATACGTATTATTATTACTTATTATTAAAATGGTTGATCCCTGCGCAAATAGGCCTGCTAGCGCTGATCACAATACTTAGATACTTACAATAATTAGAAGTTAGAAGTAAAGTAGCTCAGTCCGATCAGTGAGGTCTGAATTTAAAGAATAAATTAATTTCAGAGAAACTATTTAGCAAAGAATTGATTTAAAAGTTTTATTTGTAAACATTAAATATTTCTTTCTCTCTAAAGTTTTTGAATCCGGCACCAAATGCGTTACAGAAGTTGTAAGTACATCATGATGTCAAAGATGTGGGCCTATATCACACACTCATGAACCTCTTGATATAAGGATGGAGTTTTTCATTTCCAAAACGTGTTAAATCATAACTACCTAGACGTTTATAAGACATAAAACATAGACAACGTGCTCAGCATGAACTTGGATGGTTTGAAATCGTTTAAATTGCACCATGCTTAGTGTAGCTCTTGGCAATAGAAATAATAAATATATAGAAACGTTTATATTCAACAGCAACAATACTTACAGCACATACAAACAAGGAATGTCTGACAGTTTTACAAACACCATGGGTCCCTCATTTTCTATACAGATGAGATATTTTTCCACATATGCGTCATACATAAAAGGAGTGCCATAACTACGAATCTGTATCAAATCTAGCAGACTACATAGTGTCCGGTATATATTATATATAGACATCACCTCAGCAAGTGCCTATAAAAGAAAGAAAAAAAAAGAAAAACTAGAACATGCGTTGTCTTTTCTGGATACTTTTTGGGATCCTGTCAGAAACACATAGGCACGAGTCAGAAAAGAAAAGAAAATTAAATCTTTTCATTATAACAAACTTTGTACACATGTTATAAACCGATGCATTGGAGGCATCACATAATCTATTATAATATACAGTGTGTGTGTGTGTGTGTGTGTGTGTGTGTGTGTGTGTGTGTGTGCGTGTGTGCGTGTGTGTCCATATATATAAATGGAATATATTACATCTGAGTATGCTGAATCAGTAGAGCCGATGTTAAATAAAACAGTAAGTGATTGCAAGACCGGATTAACTTTGTTGACAATTTGTCCACTGGAGAGAAATTCCCCCGGATGATTCACTCGTTTGGCACTCGAGAAAACAATTTCAATGAATTAAAAAGGCCTACAGAACAATCAAACTTTCTGTCCCTTCCTCTTGTTATTCTTTTTTTCCCCTTTTTTTTCATGAATCCTTACTCATAAATAGTGTAATGTTGTTCTATTAGCCTACGGAGCTTGCAAATATTCAGAAATAATAGCGTTAAAAATCTGTCAAGTCTGACTCAAACAGTCTTTTTGGAAGTTCTTTGAGGTCTCTCCATCGAGTCAGACTCAGAAAGGTAGGGTGTCGAGGAAAAGTTTGTCAATTATTGCTGGCGGAGGGACTAGATCTTCTAGTTTTAGGTAAAAGATACGCTGCAGACCTTGAGTACATAGTGTGCGCAGTTCAGGGAGCTTTCCCAAGAGTTTTGACAAGTAGTTGGGACGATTCAATCCACCGCCATTGAATGTCACTTGATCCTTGAGGCAGTTGACTATCTTGTTTTGGAGATCCTCGACTCTCTTGGGTTCCTTGAGCCCGTGTCGCTCTGAAATATAGAAGAAAAAGGACACAGGAGAAATTATTTCCGATGCATTCACGTTCTCTGTTTTTTTTGCATGCATTGTAGCGCAGGCAGAGTTCCCACAGGCGCAGCCGCCCTTTACGCACCTGTTACCATGGCCAGAGCTGCGATGCAGGAGAAAGCTGAGATGTCTATGTTCATGCTCTGCAAGTTGGAAGAAAACTCCACGATAGCGTCCACCCACTCTCCAAATCCACGGACGCACTGTAGCCTGTGTAGCACCACTCCATTACAAAAAATAAGTTTGCCTTCCACTGGGTTGGACCTGCAATTAATAAGAAAATGCCATTAATTACGCCTGGCAATAAATGGGAATTTAAGAGCCTTCTTATTATTGGGTAGCTAATAAAAGCCAAAGCAATGAAGCTTGAAGGAGGAGCTGATAATTATCCAAAGCCTGGATTGTTTTGTTTAATAATTACGCGGCTTACCTGTATGCCAGCCGCAGGACAAAAAGTTCCAGGAAGGCGGATTCAAAGAGGAGATCTTGATCTTGCTTCGGTAGATCAGAAAAGCCAGGGATCTTCTCCGCCCAGCCCCGGATGATCTCCATGGAGCCCGTCAGGAGATCATAGAACTGCTGGATGTGCTGAGTGTTGTCTCCAGCCATTTGGTAGTCAGGGTTAGCCTGGAACTGGAATTTAATTTAAACAGCGCCTTAATGAGGTCCTTTAAAATATATAATCCGTGAAATTGCAAATGCCCATTTCCAAGAGGGAGAGGGTGCTTTTTTACTATTAAATTCGTGTCGTCTTTTTTATTAAGTTCTTTATTTCAACGCAATTTACTAAGGGAAAAATATGCCACATTAAAAGCCAGACAAAGTTAGGAATTCAGCGATGTATTACAGAAAACTTTCAAGGCAGTAAATTGTTACCTAAAAGCAGGACTAAATTAAAAAGGCCATCAATCTTGTTGTTGCTTCTGTTTTCAGCCAGACTTGTAGTTGTAACTCAGTTCTTTTTTCATTTAAGCATTGTGTGTGTGTGTGTGTGTGTGTGTGTGTGTGTGTGTGTGTGTGTGTGTGTGTGTGTGTGTGTGTGTGTGTGTGTGTGTGTGTGTGCTATAATTCTTGGATCGTGGTACTTTACTTACTCTGGAGTAGTCCAAAGCAGACATGGAGGGGTTGGAGTCCACATGGGCCCTAACAAGTGCGCTTATGAGGCTCACCGGCGGCGAGGGTGGGGAGGGCTCCTGGGGACTTTTGGGTTTGGATGGTAGACGTCCTCTCCGACCTTTCAGATTATCCGTTCGGACAACTCGATTGGAAGAAACACATGACATATAAGTCACTCATATGCACTCCTGCTGCTGTGCGTAAATACTTAAATATGGTTTAAATAATAATCCAACACTCCATTACGCACGTTTTCTCAGTGTACCGGTGGGGAAATATAAACAACTGGTCTAAAATAATTTAATGCATGGCCTAAACATACCTTCTCTCACCATTCCGACGACAATGCACTTCTGGAAACGGCAGAACTGGCAACGATTTCTTCGGCGTTTGTCAACAGGGCAGTTTTTATTTGCTAAACACACGTATTTTGCATTTTTCTGAACGGTGCGCTGGAAAGAAAGAAAAGGCATATTGTCACTCAGCAGGCCTGTTTGTAAGGCTGTGTAACACGTAGAACACGGACTTGGGATTGCTGCACAACTGATACCAACATAAAAAAAATGAAAACGATATAATATCTGTCTCATCTCCTGTTTGGGACTGCGCTATATCAGCCAACAAGAGGGAATAGACAGTCAGCAAATACACATTCGTGGTCTTTCATATTTTACTTACTCCTCTGAGATCCTCTATGTGTGGATATATATGATTGTCACATGAAGTTATTTTACGCACGCACTTTAAGGTGTTGCTTGATAATATTTGGTGTAGCCCGCATTGAAAATGTGATTCTATTAAATGTTTAGGCTGTGTTATCATTGTTTTGTTTTTTTAAGATCAACTCACGGGCGCCGTGAATATTAAGGAACACACAGCAGATTGTTTGCCCCCTGTAATAACAGTTACACTGATTCATGGTTCCTGTCATCTCAGCCCACCTTGAAAAATCCTTTGCAGCCCTCGCAGGTTCTCACTCCATAATGCTGGCAGGCTGCGTTGTCCCCACAGACCGCACACAGACCCTCGTTTGACGGAGATCCTCGGGACGGGGGCGATGGCACTTGGCTGTCCACCAGCTGGTGCCCGTGGCCGAGCTGCAGGGAGTGAGGAAAGGCCAGACCAGCCTGTTTCCGTATGGCGCTGGGCACCGCAAAGCTCTGGCCGTCCAGGCCGCGGTGCACGCCCGGGTTGTCGTGGTTCATGGAGACGTGTAGCGGCCCATCGAACCGCATCTGACAGCTGGAAACAGGAGTACCAGGCGGGGACTGCTTGAAGGAGAAGAGTGAAAGCCTTGACACCGGATTCTTGCGCTGGTCCATCATATGAGACGTGGCCGCAACATAGTTCTGGTGGAAACTGTGGAGGGATCCAGGGTCCTCCCACATGTGATTGGGCTGAACCTGGAAGTTTGGTGTGCTCGGGGCATGAGGTGAGGAGGGTTTGAAGTACATAGGCCCAGAGTGAGCCATCATTTCTTCCGACTGGGGTGGCAGGTGGCTCTGCTGATGGTAGTTGTGCATCTGGACGTCCTCCACCTTGATAGAGGACTGCTCTCCAGAGTGGGGCATCTGATACAGACAGGGCGGTTTAACGTCGTAACTGGTGTTATAGTTGTCCATGAATGTACTGAAACTCGGGAGAGAAGTAGTAGCCGTGATCTCAGTGTTGGTCAAGTCCATGCTAAACTTAACAAACTCAGGTGTTAAGAAGTCGCAGCTGTATTCTCCTGCGGTGTGGTAGCTGTAGCTCTGGGAAGCAGGACTAGCTCCTTGAGGTGATGATCCATACTGAGCCTGAACGCAGGGCATGGCTGAAAACCAAACGGAGAAAAACACATCAGAATTCCTCAAAGAAATGTTTAAACCGTGAAAAAAAGTTTTATAATTTAGTCTATTTAAACTATTTTTACTCTAAACAGTGAATACAATAAATAAAGTGCTTTACATTAAATCAGTCATTTCAGAGTAAAATCACAAGAAACAATAACACATCTGTGTGTTTTTTATTTGTAAATAGTTTTCAATATCATACCTCAAGTCTTCTGACAGTGTTTCGGTGACACTTGAAATGGGTAATGTCAGGAGTTGTATGGGTGTCAGGATTCGAGAAAGCGGCTCTGTTCTGGATCTTCCCCTAATAAAACACATCACTTTGACATTTACTAGATTATAAAATAAAACAATATCTAAAAAAAAAAAAGAAGACAGATTTAGCCTAAACCATTGCGCCCAAAGTGTGCACAAATTCGAATTACGCACAGCATTTCTCAAAATGTCTTAAAAAATGTTGATACCGAAAGAATACAGGCATATAGAAATATAACAATATAAGTCGTCTCTTGCTTTTGTTATTATAAAGTGTGGGCTTGTTCGCAACTTCGCGCACTTGACAATAGTGGCAACTTGTCTAGAAAGCAGAACGCTTAAGAATCCTCGCGAAATATATATTAAACATCCACAGATCTGAACAGCCTGAGCCAGACTCAGTTTTTTTTCCACAATGTCAGTTTAACAGTGAAAAGACGACTAAAAGAAAAAGAAAGAAAGAAAGAAAGAATAAAAAGATTTAAAAAGGAGAATGCGCTGCAAGTATAAAGCGCACACACAAATTATGTCGCCAAAGAAAGAGAAAGAGTGGATCTTACCTCTTTCACATGAGGATCGTGGCTTTCAATCCATGCGATAAGCATGCAGGGGGTATTCATCAATTTCTGTAAAAGCTCCAAATCATGAGCGTCGGTACCCAACAATGCCAGGCAGGCAAACCTTGTGACTCCGCGTACTGACAGCGACACGAGCTTCGACTACCCAGTCTGGCCAATGTGGCTTTGTTTATGTGAGCTCTGGATACCGTGGCCCACGTGTTTCACAGCGCTACGTCATCGGCGTCGACACCGACAAGGACCAATCCGCTTGGGAACTTTCTCAAGCCCCAATTTTTCTGGCGAGTATGTTTGTCTTGTGGTATGTGTTCTATGTTGCTTCCCACATGGACATTAGCAGAGATGTAGTGGAGGGTAAAACCCCTCTATGCTCAATTCAGAAACCTTTGTGTTTGCAGAGGACTTAAGTCACGCTTGTTTTGGGGCTCACATGAATCTCATGTGCTGTGATTTCATTGTATTTATCACAGGTGTGCAAAGTAAATGAGACAGGTAGTGATGAGCTGGTGGTTTTTGCACATATAGGCCTAATTAACTTTTGTTAATAGTTCTCTTCAAGTCACCTTTGTTTCCTCCACCACGTCATCACACACAACTATTAAGTCATTCAATGTTGTGCATGATGCATTAAAGGTGAACTTCTAGGTTGCAGCAGGCCGGCATGTAAGGTAGAAACATCCCTGCTGATATTACTGAGTCTATTTATATCCTGATAGTTGTTATTTTTTGTGTAAAATTGAGAAGAGTGTACACTGGCACATCTAGGCACAGTTATGTCACAATGAGGCTGATACGCCAGACTCACTACACTCGTATGAAACAGGGCCTAATGAAGCGGGGGGTCAATATTATTCTTCGTTATCGTCTGACAGGATTTCTGTATTTCAATTGTGTTCCAAATTTAGACCTCAGATGGGGTGGGGTTTGCGGGCTGGGCTGCCTATTCATAGGGCTGCTATAGTGTATGTGAGCTGCTGGTGCTGGAGGAGGAAGGAGAAGGTGGGGTGGGGGCTGGGGGGGGTAATTAGTGGGCCTGCAGCCAGTTGTCATGGGGGAACCAATTCAGTCCCCAGAGAGGGAAACGTGATAGGAGCGGGCAGAATGGAGAGTGACGCAGAAAACGCTCAAGTTGACGCAGCCGCCAAAATAATCTTTTGGCCTTATTGTTCTGCAGCGATGGAATAACTGATCTCAGTGTAATCTTACACCAGCACCTTGTAGCCAATCAAGGTGGCCTAAATTTCTCTAGATGCATTTTGGCCTGGGCAGCAAGCCAAGGTGAGGAGAAGGGAGTGTGATGTGTAGATATGTATGCCCCACATGCATGTAACAGCAGCCAGCATCACAGAGTGAGCAGCATCCTGTGTTATTTCTAGTGGAATGATGCTTTATTATACGACCCACAGAACAGCCATCAGTCTCAGAGCAGGTTTCTTTTTTTTTTTGAGCCCTGTGCTCAGTGCACACAAGGACAGAGTGTGGAAGGAGAGGGAAAAAAGAAAACTGTATATCATGGTTACACTCACCTCTAGAGGACACTATTGTTCACCAGCCATACATCAACCAGCTCCTGTTTCTTACAATTAACCTTTTAATTAACCTAACCCCATTAAGGCTGTGTGGTCACGCCCAGTCGTTTTCAGGTGGGCTATGAGGCAGAATTTGTAAATTACAACTTTCCCACACACTGCACTGTGAATATTCAAGAAGCTAAATAATGTAGTTAAAGTCCTGGTGTTGTTTTTGATAAGTTGTAATTATCTTGACCTCCTCCACGCCTTTATGGTAGCCACTAATTAGACCACCCTTCACTTGCATCTTTTACAGTTGCCAAAAACCTTGGACTGTGTGCTGAAATTTACTGACCATACACATGTATTTATGTGAAGCACCTCATAACAGATTCAAACTGATTTATCTGAAAACATCCATGATGGGACGCTGCATGGTCACACTGTTTCTGTAATCCATTTACCATTTAGAATTTGGAATGAAAACACAATTAGCAGTTTAATTGGCCATTTTACTGAAGAATAATTAACTTCCCATTTATATGCACAATTAATTGACAGCCATTTGAAAAGTGAGGAGTTAGTTTTTAATCACACAGAAGTTATTTCCTGAGATTATATTTTTAACTTTGTTTGAAGAAATGTCTTCTGACATTACCAGTTTCAGTGTGCGACCGTGCACGCCTGTATACTGTGTATGTGTGTGTGTGTGTGTGTCTCTGCATATCTCTGCATGTGTGTGTGTGTGTGTGTGTGAGAGAGAGAGAGAGAGAGAGAGAGAGAGAGAGAGAGAGATGCATATTTTTTCAGTGCCTTACAGACCGTCACAGCTCCCCATTATTAATTTCTCTGCAGGTACAATCAGAAAATCTGCAGGAAATGCACTATACTGGTTGATAAGATGAGTCGTTTTCTCAAGGTCACATGATGCTGATGGACCCCAGTTACAGTCAGACCAGCGGCTGTCTGCTACCTGAAAGGTTGACTCAGGGGGAGAGCCAGTAAATCAACAGTGATCACGAAACTACTTTTTTAAATTTGGATCCAGATGAATAGCTGTTATTAGCAAGTGTGCCAGCCATGTAAAACTTCCAAATCCAAGTTTTGTCTATCATGCCTCACTTTTCTAAACTCCATCAGTGTGGGTGCACAGGCAGTGAAGAGGCCAGACTAGCCACTAGCTTCCAGTGTGGAAGTGGTCTTCTTATTCTGGCCCACCTTCAGCATCTCTTGCATTTTGGTCCACATGAAATGGTCCATTTTATTTATTTTTTTATTTCATCGGGATACAAAGAGAAGGACTATGGTTTGGATTATAAGATCACATCAGAGCATCTCACTCACACAGACCATGAGATGAATTTATGTAGGGGAGCAAGACTGGATGCGGTCATTACCAGAGATAATCAGATACTTTGTTGTACTATCGTAGTGAAAGTTGCTTTTCTAAAACTACCAGTACTGCATTTTATTAAAGGTGTAATCTCTATCAGAGTGTCCAAATTGTGCTGATAAAGTACTGCACTCAAGTGAACTTTTGAGGTACTTTTACATGAGTATTTCTCTGCCACGTGTTTCTGCCACTTACTATTGTTCTTGTATTCCACTACATCTATCTGCCTGCTATAGTTTTGTTTCAGATTAAGACTTTAGATACAAGTCACGATCAGCTCATTAAAATATGATGATTTGTTAAAGGTTAAAGGTTTAACAGCCAAATAGTATACAGAGTTGTTAAAATTAGCTCCCCCTGTTCAGGGATCAAAATGTGTAATTCTTTACCTACAGAACACAAACTGGATCCTGACTGGGATCCTTTTAAACCCAAACTGAACGTTTTTGAAGAGAGATCAATCAGGTGTGTCCAGTTTTTATGGTGCTTTAATGTATTAGTTTGTATCCTGTATTGTCAGTATCTCTTTTATTGTACATGGACATTGTATTGTATTATTTTAGAGAATAGATGTTGTAGTGTGTTGCATTTGTTTATGCTACATACTTGTCCCTATACAAATAAACAATTAAATACATCAGCTGCAGTATCAAAGTACTGCTTACATGTGTGCATCATACTTGTGCATACTTTTACTTCAATGGAAGACCTGAATACTTCCTTACTGTTAATGTATAAGCTGCACTTTAATGATGTGCCTGGTCCTGGTAGTGTAACATACAGAATAAGAAGAACAGTATTTCTCTCTGAAGTAAAGAGGAGCCGATATATAAAGTTGTAGAAACTGCACATATTTTGTGAAGCACCCTTTTTTTTACAAATTGAAAATTTGAGCACATTTCTTGACAAAAGTATGAAAATACTTGAGAAAGCTCAGAAAATCTTTCTTTCTTTCATTTCTTAGTCTCTGATTGATCCACTTACTACTTTACATTAGTGAGCCCACAAAACTGGTTAAGAACTTGCAGGAGTTGTTCTACTCTCCTTAAATTGAAGCCTAGGTAGTTTGCAAAATTTGCTGGTCCCTCACACAAACCTCATTTCATTTCTAAGCACCAGCAGGTATCAAACTTTCTGAGAATTGAACAGCCCGACCCTGAAGGCATCCCTTTGCTCAGTGTCTTCTTTCCATTTCTAGATTCCCTCTTTACAAGCTTAAATGTCTACTTAATATGCTTTAATGCCTGCTCTTTAGAGCCAGGGAGCACTTCATCACTTTTATACACCTTTATATAACACACTGTTAACTAGCAATGCCTTATGGAACAGCTTGTCGTGCAGCTGGAAGGCGCCTCCATGGTATGATGGAGGTACCTGTTCACCATTCACAATGAGACAGTAAAATGGGAATAGAGGCCTCTGCATACTGCTGCTGTCTATATCAGTCAACGATGAATATTCATGAATCACAGTGTCATGACATGCTCTGTAATTGGCAGCAACATTAGTAATGACACTGCTGGTATCAAGTCCCTGCATATTCATGTGGTGGGGCAATATTTCCTCGTGGTGCTGTTTTTTTCTCTCCTTCTGAAAGTGAAAATGTATTCTGAAGCTGCAGGTGTCCCTGGTGCCACAATCAATTGCTGGCTGGATTGTGCCCCAGTGAAAATCAGACAAACCATTAGTTTCTTTGTCAATCTCTTTGATTAATAATATATCTGAATTATAAAAGGTTGGGAGGACTCTAAATAGTGTAAAGTGAATCTCTTTGTAATAGTTATGAATTCAGGCCTTAAGGACTCCTATACACCACGTTGTTGCCACTGGCTATCTGGCATTTAAAAGATCACTTATAAAATGTATTGATGACTTTCTCCTAAAAGGTAACACACCAAATTACTAAATAATTTTAGGTATGTGAGAAATTATTCTACGTACAGTTTATCTCTTAACCAAGTTGTTTGAGGTGTGAGTAGATTTATCAGCTTGTTCCGGCTCATCGTGGTTACACACTGATAGTGGGCACACTGTGGCAGATTTCCTTTTTGTACTGAAATATTCTGCAACTTCATTTCGCCCCCACTACAGTGTCCTAGAATGGATGATGAGGGAATTGGATAAAGCTTTGCCTAAGCTGCAAGGCTTTCTCCTCTAAGCAGCTGGATGGGAGGATTTTTTTTTCTCCTCATGGCTTCAGTTTAGTGCAGTGCACCATTCAAACTGTGGTGTAAGGAGGCAGTT